ACTCGGCTCAAATCTCAGTTGCACCGACCAGGCGGGCCGAATGACATATGCCCCATCAGCACAACAACACCCAAAGAAGTAATCCACACCTTTAGGCAACCGAACAATTTCCTACTCCACGCACACTAGATCCTTCATGAATAACGAACTCAATCATCCCATGATTCCAATATACCCATAAAGTGTAGCATAACCCGTATCCAGAAATTTCTTTACTGGAGTCGTCCTCGATTCAACCTATACAAGTCATAACCGATTCACAAGTATGTCTCAGACCCAAACCAATGCAACACGTAACCATGCAGTCAAATCGTCGATAGCAGACTCCCCCACTTAGCTCAAAGCCATAGATCAAACACTCAATAACTCGCAATACCCATACTCTATTACTACCATAATACTGCAGGGATATTCAACTAAATCCTTCATAAGCTCACATAACACAAACCACATAGTACCTAAAATCATCTACTAAGCTCGCATACATCCACATGACGATCAAGTCAACTTTCTCAACCAAATTCAAATTCAAATTCAAATCTCAACACATATACCCCACTGGTAGAAAAAAAACTCTCCACACAATATTATAAGGATCACACTTCCATAAATTACCCCGCAAGAGATAACCCACCTACTTAGCCTCAAATTGGCATCTTGCTATACCCTTTTGCAGCCACGATTACTACGACATTACTTAATCTTCTTGAGTTTGAACTCACAACAAGACATTAAAATCCACTTCGTTCCACAATTATACTTCATGAAAGATCTTTTAACACACTCATAACTCGAGACTATACGTCACATCCAGACAGCAATCTAGTACCCATTAGTTCTTCTTACATCTCAAGCAAATTATTCTCGTCACAATCAAACTATATGGACACATCCTGCAGTAACTTCATACTCATCATATAGCTATCCACCCACTCATTGAGTAATAAATTCCACTCATAGGGATGCTACCAGACATATAAGTCCAAAAGCACGTGCTCATACAACCAAAATCCCCGTGCTCAAGCTACAGTCATAACTCGGCCACAAGTCCTCCAGACTGGCCCATCATCAGTACACAGAAATCACATCTCGCACCTCATCCATGGAATCACAAGCCGTCGATGTACAGTACATCTAATACCGAGCGCTCACAGGCTCACACGAATGCATGGAAGGAATTCAAAGAGTTACGCTTCAAGCTAAATCAATACCGCACGATAAGGAAAGAAAGATGGGAAGTTTATCCTAAATGCCTTGTAGCCTCTCAAAGATAGGTATGGACATCATCATCCTACCGATCCGCAAGACTCTATTAGATACTTGCTCATGACTTGTGGAACCTATGAACCTAAAGCTCTGATACCAACTTATCACGACCCAAAATTCAACTAGTCGTGATAGCACCTAACCCAACCCGTCAGGTAAGCCAATTAACAACTATCCAATTTAATGAGATTTATTAGTGCAGAAGTGTAGTATGAGTACAATTGACTCCATGTACTCAATAAGTAACAAACCTAACCTTAGGTTGAAAGTAGTGACGAGCTGGGACAAGGGTCAGGGTCCAACTCTAATAACCAGTAACAGTTCATAACAATATAATAAAGATGGTACAAGAAATAGCTAAGTTCGTTCTCAGTTACGGAAAATAGGCATGCTTTTCAAGTATAACAGTAACTCTCAAAATTTTCACCAAAAAAATCAAAGATATGTGTGAGTTTGAAAACTGTAATTTTTTCCAAAAACTTTCAACAACAGTTAAGAAGTCTGATTATCAGATGGCATGAGGAAAGTACATCTCTATGCCTACATGTCAATGTGTATGTGAATGTCATAAATGTCACAAAACTGTGTAACATGAGGGAATGCATCTCCATGCATGCGTGCCAAGTATACATGTAAATACAATGCACCACATTGATGCATTCATGTACCCACACTCTCAGAGTATTCCATCTCAGTGTCTCACACTCCCACTCATCACACTCAATCACTCAATACACTCGATCACTCAGCAATGTACGGTACCTGTTGCGGCGTGCAGCCCGATCCCATCATAAATCAATAGAACTTGCGCTCATTATAGGTGTGCAGACTTCGGAGGGGAGGATCCTGCCCAAACGGTAATATAACCTGTTGTGGCGTGCAACCCGATCCACATATAGCCCTAAGGCCTATTGCAGCGCGCAACCCGATCAATATGTAGCCATAAGGCTTGTTGCGGCGTGCAACCCAATCCACACATATATAGCCATAAGGCTTGTTGCAGCGTGCAACCCGATCCCTCCCCCTTCCCCCCTCCCCCCCCACACACACNTATATATATATTAAACACAAAGGGTTAGGGAAGCAGGTAATGTAGTACAATACAAATCAAACTCTTAAGTCCTGCAAGTACATAGACTAAGAGTCCTAATTGGGGTAAAGGTAGGTGGGGTGGGTTGGTGGCGATGGAGAATAGGATGGAGATGAGTTGAAAAAGAGTTTTGGAAAATGTTTTTTCTTCTTTTGAAATGGAAAATATTTTCCTCCAATTGAGTTCATGAGAAAAATATTTTTCAAAATATTTAAGGCAACCAAACATGAAAAAATTGAAAAATATTTTCATTCGTTCCAAACACACCCTAAATAATGAAAGAGTGGTTTGAATATATATTTCAAGTGAAATATTGGTTCATACTCACAATGTTTTTACTTTCAAAAACTTCCTAGTAAAGTTTATTTTCAAACCCACCTTCGGGCAGAGGCAGATCCAGAATTTGAAGGTTGTGGGTGCACTTCTCGATTCAGCCAAAAATTGCTTTGTATATAGGGTGCTCATTTATAATATATCACTATTTTTTTAAAGATATATACATGTATACATGAAATTTTTGCGAAAATTTACAGGTGCCGGTAACCTCTCTTTGTATAGCATAGGTCTGTCTCTGCCATCGGGTTCCACACACTATTTTTCAATTTTAAAATTCAACGAGGATACTTATCCAAACGCGGAAAGAAAACATAATTAGGCAATATTTAAGAAAATTTTACAGACTCCCAACAACAATAAGTAATTAACAGATATGACAACTAATTAATTATATTCCTAGCCGAAACCTATAATATTGGACCAAGAATCACGTTTTCACGGTTCGATTTCTAATTAACTATATCTAATATTTCACGAATAAATTGGGATCTCAATGATTCCTTTCCAGTCATAGAATAAAGCATGTATAAAGCAATCAACAATTTAGAAACAATAAAATATTGAAATAATATATTGAATATAATAGGTATATTGATATATACTACCACTAAGAATTGAAAAGTAAGAACAATAAGATAAAAAATATTACCAGAAAATACTTTTAAATATACATTAATATCTTAAGTGTATCCATGCCGTTGGAAATAAGATCAATATAACACCAACGAATTTGGAATTTAGCATGTATAATAACAATGGTATAATATATTAATTGGTATATATATTATACATGGAATAATTCTATTATATTACATATTTACTTATCCCTATTTAATTATATAATTAGTATAATAATGGTATAATTATAAAAAAATGTGGAATTGTACTTCAATGCATTTATATTTCAATTATTCTGAATTTGTCGCAAGAATATGATTTCCATGAGAATTGATTCTTAGTACATTGCATACATAATTAATATTTAATTATATAAAAAGTATAATAATGGATAATTTTATTAAATATTTATGGGATAATTCTAGCATGTTACATATTTAATTATACAAATAAGAATTGTATAATGTATATTACGTCTGTGTTTATGCATTTATTTATGGTATATTTACATAATAATTCTAGTATTTACATATTAGCATTATTTAATTATATAATGGCATAAGTATACTCAGTTTTTTCTCTCTTTTTTTCAAGTACAAATGGCAACAATTGAGGGGCAGAGGGGGAGAGAGAGAAATTAAAAACAAATTAATAAGAGAAAGAATGGATATGGGGTTTGTGGGTTTGTGGGTGGGGGTGGGGGAGGGGTTTGCAACAAAGTAGTATGTTAATAAGGATCAAAATTGATCCCTCAATTAGAGGGTCTCTATTTATTTTTAAAATCTACGGTAAAAAAATGTTTGAAACTTTGAAACATGCTATACTTATAAATGAATATGCTAGTTTTGGAATAAATAAGAAGTGATTTTATTTATGCTAATAATCTTAAATAAGTGACCTACAATGTAGAAATCTCTTTTTAATATTCAAACGTAGCCTAAGGAGTAAGGACTAAGAAGATTAATTGATTCAATATTCATGCTGACCTTTGACTTGACAGCTCCCGCGGCACATTGGCTACCGAAAGATAGTTCCCCTATTTCAAATTAGATGAGCTGCTTTCATTTTTATTGTGTTCCAAAATAAATGACATATTTTTAAATTTGGAAATAATTTAACTTTAAATTCTTCATTTTAGCCATTTTACCCTTAATGATAAGCTTTTATAATCACACAAAAGTCATAATCCCACAAAACTTACTCCGTAAACTTTTAAAACCATAAATTTCAAAAGTTTATTTTTTATTTTTTAAATTTCGTGCCGTGTCAAACTACTTTATCTAAATTGAAACGGATGGAATATACAGACTCGTGCTATATGAATTAGTAATTATAAAGTTTGTTAGTACCATATATCATTTTCAAATGTCAAGGATTGGTTACACAGTAGTAGGCCAAAGTAGTCCCTATTGTAGATTAGATATATTCGAAAAAGGAAGGAAGGAAGAAAGTAGAAAGGCTAACAAGTTGCCGCATCAGCAGAAACACACACGAGTTAGACACACTTAAGATTCGGAACTTTTCTGAATCCAATCCAGTTGTCCCATAAAACAGCTGGACTTAGGTTTTGACCCATTAAAGAATCCAGCCTGTCTCCTTATCACCCTCTAACTCCGCGTTTCAAACTTCTTTAGCTTCACTTATCATATCCTACTTCCACTATATATATGCAGAACCCACTTTTCACGAGCATTGACCAAATAGCAAAATACCTCAAGCTGAGACAACAGTCAATACTACTACTACTACTACTACTTTTTACTCTCTGAATATCAAGAATAATGGAAATGTGTCGAAGCTATTATTCGGACCCACTTGCTGATTCTTCATCACTGTCTGATAGTAGCAGCTCCTGTAATAGAGCTATCCGTTCTAATGAAGAAGTTATGTTAGCTTCGAATAACCCCAAGAAGCGAGCAGGGAGGAAGAAGTTTCGAGAAACTCGACACCCAGTATACAGGGGAGTGAGGAAGAGGAATTCAGGCAAGTGGGTTTCTGAAGTCAGAGAACCAAACAAGAAATCAAGAATATGGCTTGGCACTTTCCCTTCTGCAGAAATGGCGGCTAGAGCGCATGACGTGGCGGCTATTGCATTAAGGGGCCGTTCTGCTTGCTTGAACTTCGCAGACTCTGCTTGGAAGTTGCCTGTTCCTGCTTCCTCCGACGCCAAGAATATTCAGAAGGCGGCTGCCGAGGCCGCCGAGGCTTTCCGGTCATCGGAGGCCGAAAACATGCCGGAATACACAGGAGAAGATTCAAAGGAAGTGAACACTACTCCTGAAAATATGTTTTATATGGATGAGGAGGCGCTATTCTGCATGCCGGGATTACTTGCGAATATGGCAGAAGGATTAATGTTACCTCCACCTCAGTGTTCCCAAATTGGAGATGATCATATGGAGGCTGATATGCCTTTGTGGAGTTATTCAATTTAAATATAGTTCTGGTTATCACTTAGTACTTCTTTCGGAAATCTTCCCTATATATAATTACAGTTCCTTCAATTAAGATTTAGGAGACTTTAATTTGGTAAGTTTCGTACTCATGAATATTTGGATGGTACGGATGTATATAGGCGTTGTGATTTAGTATGATGTAGATAGTAGTACTCCTATGTTCTAGTGGTAGCTCTGGCTAAATGCAAAACATTGGCCTAGGCAGAAAAAAAAACATTAGCTTTGTGAATTTCAAGCCATTGTATTTGAATGAAAAAAGTGCGCGCAAGTTAACTTATCAGCTGTATCATCTGTCCGAGAATGCTCATTATACTTTGCCTTATTCGACTTAGATTTAGTAAACTCTAACTAATATTCTAGTATGTACTATTATTTACCCTTAAAATTGGATAACAATTAAACTTATAATGTGGTTCTAAGGATATGTGATTTCACTTAACACCAATTGATAAATATGAAAATTAATAACAGAAATAAACTATAAAGTAAAGCAAACCAGTGTTCGAATGGAACTCAGCCCTCAAGTTTGGATACCCTCGAACTGGTTAATGTAAGAACAATCAAAATATAACAAAATGATGAACAATAGAATAAACAAAAAAGAGAATTATATAGCTTTGATGTCTGTGAACAATGTGTCCTTACAAATGGTTAATACTCCCCTTTATATAGTAGAGGAATTCTACTTATGGTATAACTCTAGTTAGAGAAGAAAATCCCATGATTAGCTAATTAACCGTTCCTAATTTGATCTGTTCCGAGATTTTCGCCATGATCTTCGACCATTCGCGGATATTTCGCCTTTCCGTTATTATGTCATCTTCGATCTTGCTCGATGCCTGTCTTATTCGGTCTCGATCGCTGCTGGCCTCGATCTCGACAGGTACCTTGAATCACGAACTTAGTACTTTGTCCTCGTACCTTGGTCTGATCCACTATGGGGCCGAACTTCGATGCAGCTCCCTGGTCCCGGTCAGAAAGAAAAATTGGGTGGACTCAGTTTTAACCGTATACAGATAGTCCCCTAGGTTTTTGGAGTGTAATGACAAGAAACGAATTGAGCCTTCGATTTTTACCTCGACCTGCCATAAGGTCACCGTCGTGACGTAAGCGACGGAAGTGACCGAAATGTCCCGTCAGTACAGTTCCCCAAGTCATTAATGAGTGTTAGTTGGTGGTCGGCCACTAGTGCCTTTGAGCCGTCGCCGTGAATCTAATAAATAGACCCCTTCCTCATTGATTCAAACTTTACTTTCACTTCCTTCTAATTTCCAAAGCTTTCACATCTCTTAAGTTCTTCCTTTTTACAAATCTTCAGGTTTTGTTGTTAATCCTTCTCAAACACCAAGTCCTATTATCTTCTTCTCATTTAAACTTACACAAAAATGGCAAAAACATCGAAAATGGTACCACAAAAAAAAGCTGTTTAATCTTCCTAACAGGCCGGCGGGAAAACGCCGGTGGAACCCCGTCTTGAGGAATGCATTCTTGGGGGTGCGCGCTAAACTCTGATTTCATGATCGATAAAGCCTCGTCGATTCCTGGTCGATGCGAGCCAGTGTCAAGGTATATATGCTCAATAACTGAGGGATACCTTAAGCAGATAAAGAAAGACTGCAACCGGGAGAGCAAAGAGGTGGTGATCCCCACCCCCGAAGAAGACATCACCACCCATGTGGAAGGGTTTCTAAGTGTTTACACTTACCTTTTTCACATTGGGCCCACTCGATCCCGTCATCATTGATTTTTACCGTCAATATCGAATAACCCTAGGCCAAATCCATCCTTTCTTTTGGCGAATTATTATTCTGCTCTGATTCTTCGTGAGCAAAATCGAGGGGCTCCCTTTCACACTCGATCACCTTATCAGATTGTATAGCCCCCGCCTCTATCGAGGCGGGTTAATAAAACTCCAATGTCGGGCTACCAAAGTGCTGTTCTCGAGCATAAACGAGGATAAGGATCGAGGCTGGATGGGCCGGTTCGTTCGAGTGGGGACTTCCGACCTAATCCAAGCCGAGAAGATGCCATTTCCTGAGAAATGGAACATGAATTATAAGTACCGTCTCACTGTTAGCTTCCATGTATTATTTGTTCCTTTGTCTTTTCTCATCGATGTCTTTATCCATGATGTAGCGGTCGCTTGGATGCCCCATGCGATTCCCGACCTCGAGAGCTGGGTTCGGAACCTGGCCTCGACCTCTACATACGGCCAACGCTCATGGCGCGAATTATCAAATGGCCGATGGGAGGCCAAGACTCATGGTAAGCCCACTTTTTGTGTATTTGATGATTCAATTAAGATGCCCTTCTTCTACTTATTCCATTTTTCTCGTGTACAGACCTGGGCAAGGATGCGGTCATGAGGCCCCTATCTGGTGAGGAGGAGACATCGATCCTGGCACCGAAATTGGTGAAGGACAAAAAGAGAAAAAAGACCTTAACCTCCGAGGATTCAGAACCTAAGAAGAAAAAGGCTCGTAAGCCGAAGAAGAACATCATCCTTCTGACCGAAGACTCTATTCGGCGTCTAAGGGAGGAAGACAAAGAAGAGGAAGAAGATGACTTCAGGCTAGTGGCCCGAGTGGGAATGAGCACCGAGGCCCCAAAGACCACTGAATCGGTGAAGGCTACAGAGGCTCCATCTCGAGATCAGGGGATCTCGGGAAGAGACTTGGGCGAAGTCCCCGAGTCATCGAGGATTGAAGATGCCTCCCACCATAATGAGCCAACGGTGGGTACGACTGTAGGGAATGGTCTCGAGGCCCCTCGAGATGGAGAAAATACCCCAAGTGATCCACTTGGGGAAATAGAAATTGGAGGCTCCACGCTGCTCCCCTCATTTTCTGAGGAGATGATTCAAGAGGCTCGGGCCTTGAAGACCCCCTCCATCGAAGGAGCCCGCGGAAGGGAGGACCCCTTCTGTGATTACTTTACTGGGGTCAAAGATGCTACCGGCCTAAGAGACTAGGAGGTCTAGAGGAAGGACTCGGGCGAGACATCGAGCCTTTTCAATGAAGCGCAGCAAGCTCTGAATTGGGTAAGCCTTAACTCCCTTTGTTGGTATTACCCTTGTGTTCATTTTTCTCTTCCTGTCTAACTTCTTTTCTTCTTTCTGCGTAGGCCTTAGCGCTTCATCGGGAAGCATTTTCTCGGTCTCGAGCTGAGCTGAGTCGGTACGAGGCCGACATTCAAAGGCTTACCGAGGAGAGGAATGCCCTCAACTTTCTCGGTGGGAAAAAAGAAGAAAAGATCAAGGACCTCCGAGCCGAGTTGGCCACAACGAACAAATATCAGACCGACCTGATCGAGCAGGTAATGAAAATCTTAAAAGCTCATGGGATCGATTTGGGAATGGTGGCTAACATTTCAATCTCACAGCTATAGTAGAAGGTTGAGAGGATCGAGCAATTCCGCGAGGAGGTCAACAAGATAAAGGTGGAGACCTTGGGGTAGAAAGAAAGTATGGACTGCTTTGCTGCTGAAAAAGAGGCTGCTCGAGCCCAATTGTCATCGGTCGAAAGTACGCTTCGAGGCATGAAGGAGAAGAGCTCAACTCAGGCAAAGAAAAAAGAGGAGCTCGAGGCTCGGTTGGCTTTCGAACTTGCAAAGGCCAACTTTGATGCCGAAAAGGCAAAGGCCGAGGCAGAGGCGATCGTAGCCATCTACCGGGCCGATGCTGAATCCGCTTAAGTCCAAGCGAGAGAGGTAGCCGAGACCACTCAAACTCGAGCACATTGGATTGCTGAACTCGCCAAATGCCAATCTCGGAGGGAAACCCTCGAGGAGATCCACGCTCTAGGTTTCAATCTTACTGACAAGATAATAAAAGCTAGAGAACATGAAGCCGATGCTGGAGCACTGGCCTCTTCCGATTATGATGATGATGATGGCAGCAAGAGCGGGTCCGAGAATGGGGAGGACCTCGATGGAGAAGAAGCTTCCCCTGAGGAAAATTAGGAATCTTGGGATTTTTCTTTTTTTGACTTTTTGTGCGAGGCCTGGTCGGTCCTTGTAAATATCTTCGTATATATATAAAAGATCTTTTTTCTTTTTGACTTGTCTTTATTCTATTTTCTACCTCGTAAAAATTCTATTTCATTCATGCCTTCATGCCTTATGGAGATTTTGCTCATAAGTTTGGGACTTTAGGCAACTATACCGAAGTCGGACTAGTATAGTCTTAATCGAGTGAGTACTTGCTTGAACTCAGAGTAGGGTGACCCTTAGGTTTTAATTGAGTGAGGATGATTTCTCGAACTCAGAAATGAAATGGCCCTTTAGGCTCTTGAATTAGGCCGATACGGCCAGAGTAAAAAGAATGGCGTTCTCCCCCTTTTTCGGCTTGAAAAGTTTATTGTTTAATCATATAAAATCTGTTGTACCTTAATAAGGGATTTTCTCAAGAGTTCAAACGATTCTGTACCCATTTAGGGTTTTCAAGGGTCGATATTATCGAGACCCTTTATTTTGTAATGCCTTAGCATAAAATAAAGAATTTGTTCGAGAGTTCGAACGACTTTGTACCCATTAGGGTTTTCGAGGGTCGATATTATCGAGACCCTTAGTAATTCAGCCAAGGGTAGCCTTTTTAACCGGTTTATGAAAATATTTGAAGGCCTGTTTTATAACGGAAATCGGATGTCTCCGAACTGTATTAATTTGGCCGTAGCCTTTAGCTTGGGATTCGCCTTTTGGGCTTGTTTCCCTGTTATACTTCAAACTTGTTCGAAGTATCAGTCCCCGAGTGGGGTGGCCGTAGCCTATAAAATCGAGGGTTGCCTTTTTAAGGTCTTACGATATCGAGATTTTAGTAATTCGATCATGTCAATTTTTGGATGGCAGTCCCCGAGTGCGGAGTCAATTGTTCAAACTTTAGTTGTGACCGTCCCTTAAGCCAGTTTCCACAATAGATCACAAGCACGACATTGTAAAGTAAAAATTTCTCTAAGGCATGAAATATCTGGCAAGGAAAAATACTTTTTTCAATAGATTAACATGCGTACATGTTTGCCATTAGGGCTCGAGTAATCTACATGGGCATGGTTCGTTCAACCGTTTGACCCTTACAAAATTTACCTATCGAGACCGTATTGGCACGAAGTATTTTCCGTGTAACTATCTGAGGGTGATGCCCCCTAGTATTCGAGGTTGATTGAAAATGAGCCTCAGATACTGTTGAATTGCTCTAAGTTTAGCACGAATAATGGTTGTCTCGTTAAAAACCTCACTGAAAAAACCCATTTGGGATAAAAACTGATCTAAGGGAAAAAGAGT